AACTGGTTCTAAATTTAGGTTTCACAAATATCCCCTTAAGATTATAACAACTCTCTCTTAACAAAATTTAATTGGATATTTAAAGGTAATGTGTTATTATGAGCCGTATACATAACTGATAAAACATTATAATCTACCAAATCATGGAACTTCATGAACTTCAGTTGATAAAATATTGTACTTGATGGGTGACTGAAGTGCTTTCTGGTGATGATTCACCTGAGTGCATCCCAGGTGTGATGGGTTAAATGCAGAGAACCATTTTGCCGTTGTATGGGAACATACAATAATGACAACACACAGCACTTTACTTTAAACCTCCAAATAATAGTTAGTTGACCTTGATACAGTCTCTGCACGTCAACGCTCTTCTGTTGTCAGCAGACGTGATGCAACTGCAGCAGCTCCAAACTCTTGGTGGTTTTTGTTACAGGTATTTATTTTACAGCCTGGTGGTTGCAGGGGGTCTTTGCTACGCAGAGCCTCGTCCTCTCCTCCTGCACTGTTGCTGCAGACTGACATATTCCAAGAAGATATTCATCCGGCTCACAGAGTGCAGCACCTTTTGTTTTCTGTCTAACGTCCAGCATTAAGGGCTCTGTTGCCTTGTTAGTATGAACTTGGAGCTTGTGAAGAAACCTTAGACTTTGTGCTGTGAAGAAGGCTGCATTGATCGACAGGTTTTTTTGTCAGACACTTGGTTGGACAGTGTATGGGGTGATCATCAGGGTATGTTTGATCAGCTGTCAGCTCAGGGCCTAATGAAAAAATAATAATTAGATTTATCCACAAAATTCACAAGGCAGTATAAAAATAGTATATTATTGACATGTTTTATTAAAACATGGCAGCTGTGAGGAGCACAAAACGCCTGCGGATCATTAAGCAGAGTTCTGCAAAACTCCCATCAGCCCACCCGAAAAACTGCCTTTTGTAATTATATTCTCGCTGCCTCTGCGTTGGATTCTTCCTCTGAGATTTGTGTTGATGCAGGATTGATTTGATGGAGCTGTAATATGGCCTCTAAATTAGACAAAAATCTAAATTGGCGGGGTCTCTGTCCGCGCGGCCTGGAGACACTGCTGCAGCCTCGAACCGCAGTGAAGCCACAGCAGCAGGTGGAGGACAAGTGCATCGGCCCCGCTCTCACAGGCTCTGGACTGATGGCTGAGTCGGCTCTGAAGTCAGATATTCTGGCTTCAACTAAATCTGAAATCACAGCGATAATTAGGATGGAGATGAAGGTGGCTCTGACAGATGATTTTAATTTGATTAAGAACGAGCTGCAGGCGGTGAGGGCAGAGCTTGCTGGAAACACCCTCAGAGCAGAGTTTGACCAAGTCAAGCTAAGTGATACAAAGGCTGAAAACGGGCTGTCCATATGCTCAGATGAGGTGGAGGCTCTTCGTGGGACCATGGTGGAATAGAAAAATGAGGTGGATGGGCTGAGAAAAAGGCTTGAATCTGTGGAAGGGACTATGAACAGAACATTAGGATGATTGGAGTTCATGAGTTGCCGGGCTCATGCACACCTACAGGGATAGGCAAGATGCTAAAGGAGGTACTGAAGCTGGACAAGTCACCGCTGATCGACCACGTACACCGGATGCCGAGCAGGAGAGGTTCAGATGATAAATCAAGAGGTATTGTTATCAAGATTGTGTGGAGATATTACAATGAGCCTGCAGCGATGGTTCAAAGAATCATCCGTGCTCATCACAGCTAATTACACCACAAGCATGGCAAAGGTACGAGTGGCATTCACGGAGGTGAGGCGACTCCTGCGGAATTGACCAGGTGTCCGGTATGGACTTCTTTTTCCTGCACGGGTTTGCATCATGCATAGAGAGATGGACAAGGTTTTTGTCAATCCTGTTAAAGTTACGAAATATGTCAAGAGAAATGTCATTCCAGCAACAGGCGATGAGGAACGAAAGAAACCATAGGACTGGCCTCCCTCAACCAGCAATTTTTTAAAGCGTGTCTGACTCAATATTTGGCTGTTAGAGCCTTTAATGGTGGCATGTACAACATTTCATTTGTATTGGAGGGCAATTGTACAGTGGTAACGCTCTAAATTGATTACGTAACATCTGCTATATAGTATGCATCCCAATATATGAGCGTTTTTGTTTTTACTTTTTTTGGGTGGGGGGAGTTACACTTTTGATATTTGCGGTTATATTTGCATATCCTGTTGTTTCTTTTTATGTTTTTCTTAATCACTATTACTCCTATCATATGTGGGCAGACAGGAACCCAGATAGTTGGATTGTGTTCTCTAGGTTAAGTACAAATGTGCGGATTCTAAGTTGACAGTGGTTTTTGTCCTCTCCATGTTCGGGTAGGAGACAGGGGTGGGTTTATACCCAATCAGTCTTTTGTTTTGTTTTGTTTACTCTCTCTTATTTATTGGCTGGTGATACTTTCACTAAAATTAATGTTGCTTCGGTGTGTGACTTTGCTAAACCCATGACGGACTCCATAGTTTTCTCCGGCCCCCTCCCCAACCTGACCAGCGATGACATGTTTAGCCGTATGTCGTCATTCAAGCACAGGGTGTCCAGGTGGTGTTCTGACAACGACGGTGGCTACATAGATAACTGGAGTTCTTTCTGGTCTGATGCAGAGAGATGGCATCCATCATATTTTGGATGGAACCGCTACTCTTTCTAGAAATATGGCTGATTTTAAACAACAAGTCCATGCTCAATAATCCAGGTATACAATCCAACATTTTTCAGTCAGGTCATCTGGACAGTTTCTTTTTTTGTGCTGAAATGTTTCGCATTCCATCCAGAAGGCTTCATCAGTCAAGGAAACACACAACAAAACTGATTCTTCCCCCAACAGCTTACTCCAAAGTGGAACAAACCAGTTCTGCTTGTGAGAAGATGGTCTCTTTGGTACGCCCCCTCCTCCATTGCCGGCCCTCTTCCTTGTTGACAGTCTTGTCAAACTGGTTGAAAACAACAAAGTCCATGCTCGATAATCCAGGTATAAAATCCAACATTTTTCAGTCATGTCATCTGGACAGTTTCTTTTTTTGTGCTGAAACGATTCGCCTTCGGTCCAGAGACCACCCATGTTTCTGCCTATAATATTGCTCCCCATATGTGAAGTAGGTTGACTGCAGGCACAGTTTCAAGAGTTGACACAGTTGTTCTGTGGAAAGAGTGGTCCTGCTGCTCAGAGTGGTGTCTGATTCTGATTCTGTGGACTCTGTACCACAGAGCAGACAGCATCCCCACTAGCTCAGGAGCCAGGCAGAAGGAGAAATCCTACACAAGACAGGCTCTAGAGCAATGTGGATATCCTAACTGGGCCTTCCTGAAAGCAGAGAAGAAACCCAAACAGGACTCCAGTCAGCCATCAGGTGAAAAGGAGGAACCCAGACCCAGACCAGTGGTCATTCCAGATGTTGAGGGAGTATCAGAGAAACTGAGACGTTTATTTTCTAAACATAACGTCCCAGTGGCTTTTAAACCCCAAAATACATTAAAGACTGGTTCATCCCAAAGATCCAGTCCCCCGGCACAAACAGAGTAATGTTGTGTATGTTGTTCAGTGTCAGGAGGGTGATCAGTCTTACATCGGGGAAACTAAACAGCCACTGGCCAAAAGGATGGACCAGCACAGAAGATCAACATCATCAGGCCAGGACTCTGCGGTCTACACTCATCTCCAGGCCAGCGGTCACTCTTTCAGGGATGAAGATGTTCACATCCTGGACAGAGAGGAACGATGGTTTGAGAGAGGAGTAAAGGAGGCCATCTTTGTGAAAAGAAACCGTCCATCATTAAACAGGGGCGGAGCCTCCAGGTTCAACTGTCCCCCTCTTACAATGCTGTGATTGCTAGTATCACTCAGCCCTCTGTGAACAGTAAACAGCCATCAGGTGCTAATGATCCATTGTTAGGCTGATGGTCCTTCTTGAGCATGTGATCAGCTGGTTTTGGTTGTCAGCAGCAAACTGGTTGATCCACTCTGAGAAGGTGCTGTTTAAGAGACTGAGCTGAATACAGCTCCTCAGACTGAGGAAGTCCTCAGGATGAGAGACGAAACGTTTCTACATTTTTTTGTTGATTTGCTTTGTTTTTTTTTGTTTTTTTTTGAATGTCCAGAGGACCAGATTTAACTTTTTTAGATTTTTCTACCTGGAATATTGAGCATGCATCAGGATATCAAGTCTACTTTATTTATAGAGCACATTTAAAACAGAACCTGGTATCAAAGTGCTTAACAACAACAATAAATCAATGAGTAAATTAAAGAGAAAAAAAAAATATATATATACATATATATACAATACACTAATAATAATAACTGAAGAATTAATAAAAAGCATTTAAAACACAGGGTCACAGATTAAAAAACACTAGATCAACTCACACTGTGTGAAATGCCTGCGAGAACAGATGTTTTTTAAGCAGGGATTTGAAGTGAGGAAGGGAGGTGTTCTGCCTGATGTTGGGGGGCAGGTTGAAGGGAGGTG